GGTGTGGTGGCTCATACCTATAAACCTAGCACTGCGGGAGGCCAAAGCAGGTGAATTACTTGAGCTCAGAAGCTTGAGATCAGCCTGAGCAAGAGTGAGACCCTTATCTCTACTAAAAATACAAAAACTAGCTGGGCATGGTGGTGGGCACCTGTCGTCCCGTCTACTTGAGATTTGAGGTTGCTGTGAGCTATGACGCCATAGTACTCCACCAAGGGTGACAGAATGAAACTCTGTGTTAAAAAAAAAAAAAAAAGTCTTCATTCTGCTCACATTTGTGTGCCAGTTTGGCACAGCGTTAGAATAGTTTTCATCAGAACTCTGGAGGCAGTCACTATTCCAACGCCTCTAGCTTCCAACAGGGTGATACTGTTCTTTCCCTTCTCTGTGTGACTTGTCCTATTAAGAAGTGTGTAGGATACTGTTGTCTAGTTTAGCAAAGACGAGCCTTGGTTTTTATCTATTTTTTTTGTTCATTGTGCTGAGTGCTAATGCTTTGATAATTTCTTCTCCTCCATCATCTCTGTTCTCTCTCTAGAACCCCTATTAGTCAGATTGGGACTTACCGGACAGATGGTCCAATTTTATCTTTTCTCTTCAACATTTTACCTTTTTCTTTTGTTCTTCCTTCTGAGTGTCTTCTTCAAGTTTATCTTCCAGCCCTAACATTAACTTTTTCATTTCAACTATCGAGTTATTAATTTATTATGCTATTGTTCCTTTTTTGTTTGTAGTCTTTTTTTATTTTACATGCCCATTATCTTTTCTTATCTCCCTGAAGACAATCATGATAATTCTTATGACATTTTCTTCTGCTCTGAGCTGCCTCTGTTTCCCTGGGGTTTTTGTTTTCTGTTGGTTTAGGGCTCCACCTTTTCATGTAAGATGCCTTCCTCCAATGTCTAGTAATCCTCAAGTGCCCAATCATCTTCAGAACTGAGGTGAGGTTGACTGAAGCTCTGTGGCAGGTTTTGTCACCACAGTGTGATGGGGACAAATTAAGCTTTGTATTTGGACTCCCAAATGTCAGCATCTGAAAAACGTCCTTTCTCAAGGGCTGTTCATTTTTTCTAAGACTGGTCACTGCCTTGCCTGAGGGGTAAACATCTCACTGCAGCTTTCATAGGAGGAACAGGGGGAGATGGGAGCCAGGGGTCTCACTATCCAGTGCACAAACTGTAATTTAATTTCCTGGTTTCAGTGCCACACCTCAGCCTGGCCTCTCGTGCTAGGCTTGTAGTTCCCAAGCCTGGAGCCCTCCGGTTCTCAGAGAATAAGTGCTGCCATGATGGAGGGGTAGGGTGGGGTAAGTAGAAGGGAGACAGCCTATTCCTGTTTGGGGTAGAGGAGGGAACCAGTGAGGTAATGACTCTTACAAAGGCTTTCAAACATAACTCCATTTTTTCCTTTTTTGAGCAGTCTCACTCTGCTGCTCCAGGCTACAGTGCCATAGCGTCAGCCTAGTTCACAGCAACCTCAAACTGATCCTCCTGCCTCAGCCTCGTAGGTAGCTGGGACTATAAGTGCCCATGACAATGCCTGGTTAATTTTCCAATTTTAATAGAGATGCGGTATCAAACTCCTGAGCTCAAGCGATCCTCCTGCCTTGGTCTCCCAGAGTACAAGGATTACAGGTGTGAGGCACCTCGCTTGGGCCCATAACTCCATTGTTAACCTCACCCACCCCTCTGTCTTCCAAGAAACTAGGTGCCTCCAACCTCTCAGCCTTCCAGGGGTTCTGTGGCACAACGCAGCTTGCTTCTGGCTGGCACTTCTCCTCCCCTCTGGCACACATGTTAGTTCTCTCTCATTGCTGATTCAGTCACCACTGGCAGTTTTCTTTCTTATCCTCCAAAATGTGGTTGGTATCTCTCATCTATTATTCATTCAATTCCAATTCCATTTGTCCCATGAGTTTAAACTTTTTAATTCCCTTACTGTAATTTTGGTAGGATTTTGACAGGGAGCAGAAATTAATACATGCTCTTAATTCATTATGTTTAAGCAGAAGTCACTCAGGTAAATTTTATTAAGAAGTAATAAGAATGATAAGACATTGTGTTTGTATCTATTGTGTAACATCATAAAATTATGCACAACAGTATACTTTAAAAAAATGAAAGGCTCAAAGGAGTAGGGCACCGGCCCCATATACCAGAGGTGGTGGGTTCAAACCCAGCCCCGGCCAAAGAGGCAAAAAAAAAAAAAAAAAAAAGAAAGGCAGACCTGTTAATAAGCACCTATCAAATACCAAGAATTATACTAGATACTGTGGAAAACTCTAAAGGACTGAAAGACAGCCATACACCATTTTTAATGGCTTTCTTCTAGTCCAATGAATGCTGTACCATAATTTATAGAGGTAATCTCATCTTTTTCTAAATTTAGCATGTTTCCAATTTTTCTTAAAAAAATAATAAACAATGCTATTTATGAACTAACTATCCCAAACTTCTTGTGTTTAGCAGAATATTTTTATAGGATACATTCTTATAAAATTCCTATCCAAGAAATGGACTTACTAAGTCAAGAAGTATGGGCATTTTAGATGATTACAAAATACCCTCCAAGAAAAGCTGTGTTAAGTCCCATTTTTCACTCCCTCTCCTAGTCTGGATACCTATCAACACTTAACAATTTGGCAGGCAAAAAAAATGACATCATTGTTGTTTTAATTTCACAGTGGGCATTTGCATGGGAAAGCTGGGCTCACCTAAAGTGTCAGAGGCCAGATAGATGGTGGCAGATAAAAAAAATTTCTTTAGCGAGGACTTGGAGGATAAGCCCAGCAGGAACTATCCACAATACAAAGGTAGTGAGGAGGAAAGGTTTGGGGTTGTTCTGCTGTAGAAAGGAGTAGAGGGACAGACGGTGCACAGGTGTCCAACCTATGTCCTATAGGTTGCATGGTGACTATTTGAGGACTATTCTGCTTATCTGTGGTGTCAGGTATTGCAAAAAGCATGCAGGAGCCTTTTTTCTTTTCTTTTCCCACCCTTCCTTCCTTCTTTCTTTCTTTCTTATCAGCTTTTGCTAATGTTTGTGTATTTAATATGTGGCCCAAGCAACTGCTATTCTTCTTCCAGAGAAGAAAAACAATTGGACACTCCAATTGGATAAAGTCTGGTTTTGAACATGTCAAGTTCAAGGTGGTTGAGACGTATGTTGCAATAGCAAAAGATGATTAGAACGACGGTTTGAAGGGGAAAAAAGATGTCAAAGGTTCTAGTTCTTTTAGGAAAGAAGACATTTGATCAGCTAGATGGGACATGGAAAAAGTTTTACAAGAGAAAACACGGTCTAAGGGCATGAACTACTGTCCCACTCTAGCCAGATGGCTCACAAATATGTAGCCTCAAATAGAGGGAAAGAGCAGAAGAGGGTGTGGGAAGGGCCCATGGGTGCCAGAAGCTACAACCCAAGGCCACGTCCCTTGGAAAGTGTCTGGGAGTGTCAACAAAGGAGGCACCTTCATTATTTCCATTACTATGTGCCCAAGTGTCCCAACAACTTAGCTAATTTTGCTTACAAATTCTTTTCAAAATAAGTAAATTCTTTTCCACTCAACTCCCCCCCTACCAAAAGCTTTTTAAAAATGTAAATGGAATTAAAAACAAAAGAAAAGACAATAAACTAGCAAGCTATTTAAGAAGAAAAACCTCAGGATTCCCGGAGGAGAGTTTAGTCAGCTGGAGAAAAGACAAGTGAATCATTTTGCTCAGATGGTGTGACATTTAAATTAAATGTTCTGTGACAACACCACATTTAAGAAAAATCATAAAAAGAAGACACCGGTGTTTAGGAAAGAGAAGATTGGAGACAGGCTCAGAAAAAATTCACTAGTCCAGACTGCATGTAACTGGCACAGATGGCTCGAAAAGTGACAGCAGGCTGGAGGTAATTACGTTCAAAAGTGCCTGGCACTTCTACTGTGGCATCCAGGTCTGTTCTGGTCTTCAACTGCAAAGCCTAGGGTTATTCACAAAATGAGAAAACCTGAGTTTCCTTAAGCACTGTCTCCTCAAAGCCGGCAGATGCCTGAGAGATGGCGGAGCCCTTGAGGAGGTGTTCCCTTGTGGTGTTTCAATTCAAGAAGGTTCAGAAAACTGAGAGTGCGACAAACCACCTGCGGAAGGTCTACTTTTTCCATTCCTCACTTGGCCACAAGTCTCAGGTAGGGGGACTGTTTCCTTGATATCTCTGACTCCCTTCAGGCCAGACTTTATCAATCCCAAGGTGCTTCTTTTTTTCTTAAAAAGAAAAAAAACCCTTATTGAGGTATGATTTACAAACCATACAACTCACCTGTTTTAACTGTACATGTCAATAATTTTTAGTAAATGTATGGACTTATGTAACCATTATCATAATCCAATTTTGGAACATTTCCATCATTCCAAAAGGATCTCTCGGGATCATTTGCAGTCACTTTTCATTCCCACCCCCAGCCTCAAGCAACCACCAATCTACTTCCTGTCTCTATCGATTGCCTTTTCTGGACATTTCATATGAGGGGAATCATACAACAAATAGTCTTTTGCATCTGGCTTCTTTCACGGGGCACAGTGTCTTTGAGGTACATCCATGTTGCATCATGAATTAGTACAGCATTCCCTCTGTGGCTGGATAATACTCCATTGTATGAATATAGCACCTATTTCTTACCTATTCATCAGTTGATGGGTATCTGAAATATATCTGCTTTTTGGCTATTGTTAATAATGCTCACATGAACATCTTTGTACAAGTCTTTATATGGGTGTATGTTTTCATTGTTCTTGCACCTAGGAGTGCAAATGCTGGGTCGTATGGTAAACGTTTAACAAACATGGTGTGAAACCATACAACTCACTCGTTTTAAGTGTACATTTCAAAAATTTTTAGTAAATTTACTAAATCAGTTTAAAAGAAACTGTTTTCCAAAGTAACTGCACCTTTCTACGATTGTATCATTTTATATCCCCATTGGAAAGTTCCAGTTTCTCCACATCCTCACCAACACTTGTTATTATCTGTCTTTCTGATTATAGTCATCCTGGTGGTTGTGAAGTGGTATCTCCTGGTGTTTCTGAGAGCATTTCTCTAATAGCTAATGATGCCAAGCATCTGTTCATGGGCTTAATGGCCATTCATATACCTTCCATGGTGAAATGTCCATTCAAATCTTTTCCCTGTTTTTAAAAATTGTCCATGTTTAAACACTTTTAAAATACAAATAGAAAGAAAAGCATCAAAATTTAGCTTGTAATAAAGATGAGCAGCTGAGTCACACTGCAAAATCTGGTTCCATACACCCATTCTGTGCCAAGAGTAAGAGGCACAGCACCCCTCACAAGCTTGTTTAATGAAGTTACTCTACACAAGACAAGTGAGTGGATGACGGCATCTCTCAAAGAATGCATTGGCTAGGAACACTGGTTTCTCACTTTAATTTCTGGATCAGCCATAATTTCTACAGAATATAAAAAGAAACAACACCCTGTGAAGGATGGAGGGCCTTTCACTGCTTTTCAGAGGATAAAATGGAAGAGCAAAAATTAAAACACAGGGAGAGGTGTTAGAAATAACTACAAATACAGATTATTATATAGTCAACATGTTAACTCATTATGTAAATACAGCAGCAAAATCAAAGTAAGTATGAAGAGCTTAGAATAATTTGTGTGACTGGGTAGGAAGAAAGGAAATGTGGATATATTAAGATCTTTAATCTAAGGCTTGTTTTTCCTTTTTAAAGAAAGTGGTTCACTGACTGTGTTGTTTACTATCACCATAATACTGATGTCTAAAATACTCTCTGTAAGCAATGGAAGAATCTTCAGAATAGGCAAATAGGGCAATGGAATAGTATCCAGAAATAGACCCACACGTACAAAGTCTGTTATCGTTGGCAAAGGTGTCAAAGCACTTCCATGGGTGTGATGGTTGATTTATGTGCCAGTTGACTGGGGTAAGGAATGCCCAGATAGCTGATGAAACATTATTTCTGTGAGGGTGTTTCTGGAAGAGATTAGCATTTTGCTTAGTAGATTGAGCAAAGAAGTGTGGCTGGGCATATAAGTGTGGCTGAGGACTCAAATAGAACAAAAGGGTGGAAAAAAGGCCAATTCTCTCCTTCCTTCCTTGAGTTGGGATATCCATTTTCTCCTGCACTTGGACACCAGAGGTTCTGGCTCTCAGGCCTTGGGACTAGAACTTACACCAGTGGCCTCTCTAGTTCTCAGGCCTCAGACTCAGACTAAATTATGCCACCAATATCCCCAGAGGGCAGACAGCAGATGGTAGGACTTCTCAGCCTCTGTAATGGTGTGAGACACTCCATAAATAAAAATAAGTAAGTAAATAAATAAATACATAAAATTTTGGCTCAGCACTCATAGCTCAGTGAGTAGGGTGCCAGCCACATACACCGAGGCCATTGGGTTCAAGCCCGTCCCAGGCCTGCTAAACAACAATGATAACTGCAACAAAAAAATAACTGGGCACCTATAGACCCAGCTATTTGGGAGGCTGAGGCAAAAGCATGCTTCAACCCAAGAGTTTGAGGTTGCTGTGAGCTGTGATGCCAAGCACTCTACCAAGGGCGACAAAGTGAGACCATATCTCAAAAAAAAAAAAAATAAATAAATAAATAAAATCTCCCATGGGCTTTGTTTCTCTGAAGAATCCTAACTAACACAATGCATGAAAGGACAGACTTTTCAACAAAAGATGTTGGAAAAACTGGAAACACACCAGAAAAATATGACTCGTGACCCTACACCACACCATACACAAATTAATTTGAGATTAATCACAGACATAAATGGGAAAGCTGAAATTACAAAGCTTATAGAAAAAAAGAACATAAATTCTGGGTAACAAAAAAGCTCTAATTACAAGAGTAAAAATTGGTAAACTGGACTTCAAAAACTTTTAAATTTCTGCTTATCAAAACTATTAATAAAATGAGTATATAAACTACATATGAGAAGAAAATATTTACAATACACATATCTGAAAAAAACTTGTATTCAGAATAAATAAAGAATTGCAACTTGGGCGGCCCCTGTGGCTCAAAGGAATAGGGCGCTGGCCCCATATGCTGGAGGTGGCGAGTTCAAACCCGGCCCCGGCCCAAAAAAAAAAAAAGAATTGCAACTTAATGATAAAAAGAAAGTAGTCCAATAGAAAAACATGGGTAAAAGACTTGAACAGACTTCACAAAGACTAATAAGCACATAAAGAAAGAGTTCAATATCCTATCATTAGTCATCAGGGAAATACAAACTGAAGCATGATGTGATGTTACTACATGCTCACCGGAATAGCTAACATTAAAAAGACTGATGATACCAAATGCCAGAATAAGGAGCAAACACAACTTTCACCATTGCTGGTGGGAGTGTAAAATGATTAATCATTTTCTCATAAAGTGAAACATACACCTGTCCCATGACTCAGCAATTCTACTCAAAGATATCTACTCAAGAGAAAGGATATATATATGCATAAAAAAACCTTCACAGGAATGTTCAAAGCAGCTTCACTTCTAGTAGCCAAAGTCTGGAAAAAGTCCAAAGGGCCATCAACAGGAGAATGGATAAACAAATCATGGTGTACAATAGGATAATATTCAACCATAAAAGGACAGACTGCTGACGCATGCAGTAACATGGAAAAATCCAAAAACATTATGCTGAGTATAGGATTAAGAAACAAAATCAGCTGAGTGTGGTGGCTCACACCTGTAATCCCAGCACTTTTAAGAGGCTGATCTCTTGAGCTCAGGAGTTCAAGACCAGCCTGGGCAACATAGTGAGATCCTCTCTCTACAAAAAATAAATTAAAAATAAGCTGGGTGTGGTGGTGTGCCTCTGTAGTCTAGCTACTCTAGAGGCTGATGTAAAAGGATCACTTCAGCCCAGGAGTTTGATGCTACAGTGAGTCATAATGGTGCCACAGCATTCCACCCTGGGTGACAGAGTGAAATTTGTACTGATAAATAAGTACAAAAAAAAAAAAAAAACCCCACAGGAGTACATGCTATATTATTCCATTTTTATGAACTTCTACAAGAGGAAAGACAAATCCATGGTGCTTGCCCCTGTAAGAGGAATGGATCGGGAAGGAGCAAATGGGAAGGCTGTAGGGGCTAGAAATATTTTCTACACAGGTGGCGCCTGTGGCTCAAAGGAGTAAGGTGCCAGCCCAATATGCCAGAGGTGGCGGGTTCAAACCCAGCCCCAGCCAAAAAAAAAAAAGAGAGAAATATTTTCTACCTTGATGGAAGTGATGGTTATACAGGTGCAGGCATCCGTCAAACTCATTAAATTATAAATTTAAGATTTGTACATTTGACCATATATAAAATAACAAACCAAAACCAAAACAAGGGTGGTGCCAAGGGTAGCTCAGTTGGCAGGGCACGGGGCACAAACACCTAGGGTGGCGGGTTCGAACC